AAGCATTTCCCAAACTGATGTTGACATAATTCCTTCACCTTAATAATAATAATTATAACCTTGTCCAGTCCCAAAAAGGCCTTGCAAAGACAGAACTTAGCCTTTATTCAACCCAGGATTTTATCCAATTCATATTAGAATAGAAAAATAATGGTCTTTAATTGATTGACCATGGCACCAGTACCATATTCGCCCTGTATAGCCCTGCCACCCAGTATATAACCCCCCCCCCCCCATTATATAATCTCCCCTTTAATATACCCCATTTTTAGGCAAAGATATTTATTAAGCCCCCCCTCTCTATTAAGCCCACCCCTTTAATAGAAAAAACATGTACTTTCTCATGAAACAGATTTCTACAAACTTGCTTTCATTTTTGGAAGAATAAGATGATGCTTACCGTATTCTCTCTATTTAACCCCACGGGGGTGGGGGGGCTTATTCAATTCAGGACCTTTAGAGGGGGGCTTTTTGGAGAGGGGGGCTTAATTGAGAGTGGGGGCTTATTTAATTTTCCATAAAATCAGCAATGGATATTATCTCTTTGAACTGTAATAAACTCAAAATCATTACACAGATCAGTATATATCGGGGTACAGATCAGTATATATCGGGGTACAGATCAGTATATAGGGGGTGCTTATTAGAGTGGGGGGGGGGCTTATTTCATTTTTCCACTCAAAAGGGGGGCTTATTGGAGAGGGGGGCTTATTTGAGAGGGGGGCTAAGTAGAGAGAATATGGTACCGGTAATACATGTCACAAACATCCTAAAATGTATATATGGTTGAAAATATATAGTTGAACATTGCTTTGTGCTGGAAGAAAATTATCATAATTTTACCAAAAAATAAATAAGTCTCCCCCTCTCAAATAAGCCCCTCCTTAAAAGGGTCTAAGAGAAAGCCCCCGGGGGGTTAGTAGAGAGAATACGGTATTCTTTGCACAAACAGTTGGTAAAAACTGTTTATTTCTAGAGATATTGTGCTTACAAACAAACAAATGGACATAAAAAGCTGAGGTACTGTAAAAATGAAATAACACCCACAGAAATAACAGCAGAAATAACACCCCACAATCCTCTACTCCATACCTTTGCATACATGGAGTGAGCTATGTTCTTTGCCAAAGACTGCATTTGGACTGCCTTTTTGGTGTGATCTTCAATCGTTTGCCCCAGTTGACTGATTGACTCCAGTGTTTTTGGTAAGTACTTCTTAACCACCCAGAGACGTTCGCTGTAACATGCTGTTGGACTTTTTGCTTTATACACTTCACGGATCCCTCCCTCTGCAAAGGGCTTCTTTTCAATAACCAGCTCCACTCTTTCTGCGACTGAAGACCATGCCATATTTTCTAAATTAAACTTGTAAACGTCTGCAATGGTCGTCTCTTGTCGCACGACTTTGCCCAGATTTATCATCTGTGTGACAGACAGACTCTTTGGACAACCAGCATTCAAATTCTTTTTAACTTGTGGTCTCACTTCTAAGGACCTAGCTCGAGGCGATTGATAGGAACAACTTGCAAGTTCTGGCTGTCCACGTGTTCTCTTAGTTTTTGGTCGACTGAATTCAGAATCGGCAGGGAATTCGGAAGAAAAGGCAGACGAATCTCGCTTTGCAGTGCCAACAAATCGAATATGGATCAATTTCAGATTTGGAATTTGGTCAAGACTTGTACAAGATGGACCTTGCTCACCCGCAAGAACGTTGCACTCTACATTCATTTTAAGTTGAGAGAGGAAATGTATTTCACATGCCTTCTTTATGTTGTCGATTGTGATGTCGCCATGTGGATAAGAAACAAACTCTCGGGGTCCAATCCTCGAAAATTTCTGTGCTTTTCCGGACACGTCCGAGCTCAATCTCTGCACAGTCAAATGGTCTACCTTTTTCGGTGTTGCTTGTTGCTTTCTTTTACAGTTAATCTCGCGTTTAGCTTTCATACGATTTTCAAACCCTTCCCACTTCTGCCTAAACGCCATGTTGGATTTAACTTTCCTGCGTGAATGCGCAAATAATTTAAAATAAATTTGTATGAATAAATTAGTACATGCACGCAACGCATTGTGGTATACTATGGCAGTTTTGGGCTCGTGGTGAGATACATTTTTAAAATTTTTTTAAAACAAATCGAGTTTTGTTTAGGAAATAAAAAGAAAAGTAATTAAAATTAAAAAATAAATAAAAGTAAAGTAAGACTAAATACATAAAAAAAACAATAATTTTAAAAAGTAAATTGATGAAAATAATTAATTTATCAAAAAAATCAATGGCAGTTTTGGGCCACCATACTGAGTCCTTCTTGCATATCGATATGTAAGCAGAACCATTGGCATTGCATTGATTAATTGTCTTTATTTATTACAATAAAAAAGGCAAAAAGCCGTTTCAAAAAATGTAATCTTAAACCCGAAAATGCATGAAAAGGAAGGGCCATGTATTTGGCTTAAAATTTCTTGCTCTTAGAACAAATTTGTCGCGTATATTTTAACAGATTTATAAACTCCAATATTTAAATGGAACGATTGTGATAATTTTATTTTTAGCTGTCAAATAACAATCGGAACTATTAACTGCCTTCGAATAGCTCTGGCCTGGCCGCGATATTTAATTTGCTCCTTTATAGTTTATCTTTCATATTGCGGAATGCAAACCAATGTACACACTGTTCATCTTTTCGGCTAAATTCGTGTTTCTTCATCAGTATATACAGGTAATTTTAGGGAAATTGTCTGATGCTACTAATACAGTGTAGCTATATATCTATTAGTTAAAGTAATAAACAGACAGAGAAACATGCCGACAACAAATCTAGCTATAGTTAATAGTCATGCAAGAATTTGTTTGATGAATATCAGAATATGTTCTATTAAACGCTTTCATTTTATATTTGTGTATGATGTAATTTTGAGATATATAAACACATACTTCCATTGTATCGATGGCAAAATATATAGCAGATTTAGCTAGAGTGCAATCATACCTTGGTATATACTAAATTTATAATTTATACTGTTCGAGATCCGTAACTACATAAAATAATAATAACATATATACTAGTGATTTAAATTCCTTAAGATACTAAGCCGCGGTATTGCAGAATATACACAATATACTCCACCAGTATACAGTGTATATTGTGTATACATATACTTTAAAGTATATACTCATCTACTATACACAGTTGACAATATACATGTTTATATAGTCAAAACTGTATATACTGTATATTCTCGCTTTTATCAACTTGCTAGTCTATATATAGTGTATATTGTGTATATATATATACACAATATACAGGTCTATATACTCAAAACTGTATATACTGTATATTCTCGCTTTTATCAACTTGCTAGTCTATATATAGTGTATATTGTGTATATAGTGTATATATATACAAAACTGTATATACTGTATATTTTCGCTTTATCAACTTGCTAGTCTATATATAGTGTATATTGTGTATATAGTGTATATATATATATATACAAAATATACACAATATACAGGTCTATATAGTCAAAGCTGTATATACTGTATATTCTCGCTTTTATAATATACACAATATACAGGTCTATATAGTCAAACTGCATATACTGTATATTCTCGCTTTTATCAACTTGCTAGTCTATATATAGTGTATTGTGTATATAGTGTATATATGTATATACAAAACTGTGGTAAAGGTATAATATAACAATAGAACAATTATGTTTGCAACTACCCATTTATGATAAGAGCATTTAAGATCACTTATTCACAAAATGTGAAAAAGTGTTATTTTTAGTTTTGGTTTATCCACAGTTTAAGCTGAACACGTTAATTATCATTTTTCCGCAATAAATAGAATCAAACGGCGGAGCACTTCTAGAGTTCTATAGTGATAACTATTCCCAGGTATATTATATTAGGTCTTTACGTCTTAGTTCACATTCTAAATCATTGTTAAATCGCTCATTTACAAACCAAAACAAAACGTTACGCTTAAATTGTAACATCTTTCTTGTCAGTTTAAAATACTCATTCAATCTACGGAAACCTTGCTCACAGGATTCTGTATTTGTGCCTCTGATAGCATCAAATCCCGGTAAAAATGGATGGTATTTACACTTAGGATTATTTGGAGGCATACACACTTCTTCCGTATGTTTTGATACATGGAAAATGTCCACCAAGAATTTCACATTTTCCAATAATATCTTTGCCCCAGCACTGTCATTTCGACGTTGGTTCTTCAAGAAAGGGACTAGCCCACAAGCTCAAAATCCTCGGTATTATCACAAAAGGTTCTTAGTAGGAAAAGGAATACTTGTGTTAGTGATTCACAAGTAAACATCTCTGTCATATTTACCACAATACCACATGGGCATATAAGGGCAAGCATGCCGGCTGTTGTTTCGAAAAACAGCGATATATTCTCCTTTTTCTTGCATCCTTCGTCTCTCTCATCGTTTTCTTCAACAACACACAAGTCTCGTTCAGCAGCCGAATTAAATTCTATAGGCATATCCACCTGATCGCAAACTTCCTCCGACTCATGCGTGATGCGTCGCATGGACTCTACAGAACTTTGAAGGAGCTTTGCTCTTGCCGCCACATGTTGGACTGTTCATACAACATCTAAATACTTTGGGAAGATCATGACATAATCTCACTTTCTCCTTTGACAGAGCACATTTTGCACGTTTGAGGTACTCGTTTCCATCCACTGTAACATAACCTGCGCATCCTTTAGTTTTACATTTGTGCCTCACCCACTTTTTCCGAGAACAGCATATATCTTTCCATACCAACTCACACAGTTCTTCCGTATTCAGATGTTTACTTTTTTCATCATACTTGACATCTAAGTGTGTCCGCTCAAGTTCGCCTTTCTCATGGAAATAATTTACGACTATCCACATAAACCAGGCATCATTTACGCGATCTTCGTTTAACAACCACTCCGCATCTTTTGTTCTAGCAAATTCTTTCATATCTGTTAGTCTCTGGTTATTCTTTTGCGTGAAATTAGCGTTATACACTTTGGCACGCGATTGGAATGTACACCCACTCACCCATATGTTATTTGAAATATCGTCTAATAACTGTTTATCAAACACTGTTTGTGACGTTACTTGAAAATATTGCATGCTTTCATTGCATGGATTATAGTACACAACGCTTGTTGTCCATTGTTTTATAGCTCGGATAAAATGTCGTTTTGCAACCAGTGCATTGACCATGGAATAGCGCTCCTACATACGTCCCATTCACACTGTATACGAAAGGAAATGATGGTCGGCTGTCCATTTTAATTCGCTTACCACAACAATTTAACACGGGGCAGGAGAATAACTGTTTTGTTTGCCGTTCTTCCACTGACGTTCAGCTGACTAACATTAAACTCGTTCGATAACAAAAATGGATAATTTTTGGCTAAAAATGTGCTCATCATTCGGCAGTCTTCTTTCTTCTTCAAATCTACATACTTTTTTGTAACGCTTTCTCGCTTACCGAGACACACAGTTGGTATATCTTCGCCCGGATTATTTGTCTGACTCTTCACAAATCCAGCTATTAATTAATTCCCATCGAGATGGTGTTCCTTCGCGGAAATGCTTAGTGCCAAATATAAATGCATTAAGCTCGTCGATTTTTGTTACCAAGGCAGACATCTTTTAAGACTTTTCTTACTATACTGAACTGTTATATCAAACTTTATTATGTCTCATTATGCCATACACATTTTAATCAAACTTTAATATTATGCCAAACTATAACATTGCGCGAAATTATTTTATTTCAATGACACCTGAACATATTCAGTCTAGTCCAATTACATGTGTGCATATAGAAGTATATTTTTAATTAAGAGACTAATATGTATTAACATTTAAATCTAGTAAATTTCTGCTTTTTATGCTATATTCGTAATCAATTTTTTGGAATCCTTTCTGGTATCTAATTTTTTTAAATAACTCAGTGTCACATTGTAGCTTAGACCACGGAAAATGGGTCTAGCTATTTTGCGGGCCGCGGGCTGCGGGTCAGTTTTTGCGGGCTGCGGGTTAAAACAATTGCGGGCCGCGGGCCAAATTGCTGGGCTAACTAATTCTTTGTTGCATGCCATATATGGCATGCAACTTTCATTGGTGAGCGTACCGGTCACATGGCAAATTCGTAAAATACGACAAATACCGAGTTTTTCCGACGAGCATTTCATCACTCATGCTCGATGAAAGGCAAAGAAAAATGTTTGAGTGTTCGCAGGAAATTTACATAATTGAGCGCCTTTAAAAATAGATCAAGGTAGATAAAGCTTTGCAGGTTTTAATTTTCCTTATATTCTGTTATTTGTTGTGATTCTGGAGCAGTTGTGGTCGCAATAAAATACTGTTAATCATAAAATGAATGATTATTTATCATGCAGTCGTTTTTAATATTTATATCGTGAAGCCTGGCTACGCTATCAATATATACTATATTGTGTGCAAAACTTCAAAACTACAGTACATTTTGTAAATAACATGAAATATATTAAAATATCAAACAAAATTCTCATTATACTATTGAAATTTAATACAACGAAATAGTATTCTACGTCGATAATTTCAATCATAGTTTAATAATTATTTTCAATCTATAGTAATTCGCCGTTTCCATGTTTTTTTTTTATACTTTCGATAAAGCTCAATAAAGCTAAATTTGTAGGAAATAACATTATTTAGTTATAAAATAGTATAAAAGGAAATCTAACAGTCAATCGCTTTTGATAAAACCTTGACCTTGTTTATATTACCGTCGTTTGCAACTAACGATGAACAGTCACTCATAAAAACATTGCCTATTCGCGTGAGAATCTTAAGAGGCTGTGTCTCTAAGAACCGACCAATGACTCTCGGCTCATAAAATGAAATTCTTCGTTACTTTCACAATGAAATGTATTTACCCCAAGAACGAACAAACACTATTTGGAATTTTGAAATTTTATTAATTTTTAAAATTTCAGCGACTTTTCGGCCCGCGCCGTCGGGCAGAAAATCCTCTGCCTAAATCAGGAATAAAAATTAGCCGAATTCAAATACATATAATTTTAAAAGTATTCAACCAAATTTTATGATTTTTTCACCCACCAACTTGAACATTATTCTACTTTGAAACTTGCCTCGTTTTATGATACTTTTACAGAAAGATTATGGCAAACTTTAGCGATAACAAGCACCGGGTGTAAATACGGCTTTGTACGCATATCAAATTCGACTTTAAATTTCTCAAAAGTGGCACCTAACTGGATTCAGTGACTAATATGGTTAAAAAAATGGACGTTTGAAGTACCCATATCCACAATAAAACTTGTTACTGACCGCGATTTGAAGACTCGACAGCCTCTGAAATTTGATACAATTTGGTTATTTTGTTTAGCTTCAATTATAGCAGAGTTGAGACGTCAGAGCTTCCAGTCACTTGTAAAATGCGCTCTTGTTCCGTTTTCTTACACAAGCCTTTAAATCATCGTAGTTAAGCGATTTTTCTGTGTTCATGAACATCACAAGTGGGTTTAATTCAAAAAGATTTCGATCGATGCAGTGAGGTATTATCAAACGTGGTATGCTTTCGTATTAAAATTAGCTACTCGGGGAAAACCCGGAAATTATTGTCAAATTGACAATGCTGATATTTATTAATCTAAACTCTGTATGTCTATTCTGCACGATTGGGAATGAATTTAAGAGGTTATCTCTCTAAGAACCGACCAATGGCTCTAGGCTCAAAAAATGAAAGTCTTCGTTACTTTCACAATGTTTTATGATTTTTTCGCCCACGCACGTGAAAGTTATTCTACTTTGAAACTTACCTGGTTTTATGATGCTTTTACAAAACTATTATGGCAAACTTTAGCGATAACAAGCACCAAGTCCAAATACGGCTTTGTACACATATCAAATTCGACTTTAAATTTCTCAAAAGTGGCTCCTAACTGGATTCAGTGACTAATATGGTTGAAAAAAGGGAGGTTTGAAGTACCAATATCCATGCACAATAAAACTTGTTACCAACCGCGATTTGAAGACTCCCAGAGCCTCTGAAATTTATTACCTTCAATTATCGCGGAGTTGAGACGCCAGAGCTTCCAGTCATTTGTAAAATGCGCCGTCGTTCCGGGTTTTTTTTTCACACAAGCCGTTAAGCGATTTTTCCGTGTTCATGAACATCAGAAGTTGTTTTAATTAAAAAAGATTCGGCTCGATGCAGCGAGGTAAACGTTACAGCGAGGTAAGCGAGGTAAAATAGAGTCATTGCTAATTTTGGCACTCCCGTCATAAACAGTCTAATCGTGCAACAATTACTGCTATTTATTAGCAGAAAACCAGAACCATGGCGTATTGTCTTGTTTCTATAGCTTCTCTTCCGTGTAATGCACAGCAATTCCATTAGTATATATTTGACAATTTCGATTCCCCACTATATCTTCACATGATACTATACTTTATTGGGGGTAATTTACGCATTAATTAACATTCCCCTTTTTGAATACATCGTGAACAGTTTCTACCATTATTCTGGTCGACGTTTCATATAAGAGTCCCCACATGCCCTGGCCTACCCACACCCCCAGTACGACCCTACCCCAACCTCGCGTTTTTGTGTCGTCATTTGAAAACTCTTGTATGAAAATAAACTTCACCCTTTATTAGCTCTCCTTAAACAATTCCAGGTGAAGTTGATATAAAGGTCCTCAAATGACATCACAATAGAGGTGGGGTGGGTGTAGGGTAGGGGTCAGGATAGAGTTGGGATTAGGGGTTAGAGTAGGGACTAGGTGTAGGGTTTGTGTTAGTTACATAGCCATTTAAAGGCCGCTTTCCACTTTGAACCGTATCGTACACGCGTAAAAACGCTCAGGTTGATGCAATACTGATGAAAACAGGATTGAACAATGTTTTGCTGCCCACATTGTTCATAGCTGTCAACAATATTGAACAATATTCAGGCTCAACAATAGTGTTCAATATTGTTGACAAGTGTGAACAATGTTAGAACAATGTGGGCAGCAAAACATTGTTCAATCCTGTTGAGCAGCGGGCTCGGCGTTTTTTGCCGTGTACCGAAACGTAGCGTATTTCTTTGTTTCCTGAGCGCTAGAGTGGAACTAATGATTTCAACACAAAAGAAAATGCTACGATACGGTCGAAGTGGAAAACAGGTTTAACACCTCTTCTCTCTTCCGAAAATGACGTCAGGTCACTTTGCTGGATAGAAAATAGTGCTACTATTAGGATTGGTGTACAGTTATCCCGGTCGAAACAGGTTTTATTGTCTGGTACGACTCATAAACTGAGATTCCATGATATTACAAAAAGAATGCATTTAAGGAAAAATTCGTATGCATATGATTACGAATAACATTAGACATAGAATATACTTCAAAGACAGAAAATTTTGAATAATATTGTTATTTTCTTTACATTTTGACAATTTTTTTTTAAAAATTCGTCAGGCCCGCAACTAGACCCGCGGCTTGCAATCTTGTTAGCATTTTTCTGCCC